TGCCTGCATCCTCCTGCAGAGATGCAGTCTGCAACTCCAAAGGCAAGAAGAGATGGGCTAAAAAGGACGGCAAAGTGGTGAGAGCGCAGAGATAAGGCAGAAAATGAAAATATGAGGAAGCTGTGACTCCATAAATCTGGGTCACTGTCACACTGGGGGGAGGATCTTGGTTCTTGTCTTGAGATGTTCCATGATAAAGAGCATATCCTGAAAATTCTGGGAATGAGATGAATAAAAAAACAACACGGTGAAATGAATTCCTTGACAATAACTTAAAAAAAAAGAAAAAGTTAAAAAGACGATGAAACATTTGTCCAGTTAAAAATATGGCTTTTTTTTTTTTAAGCGACATTCAGATGAGCAAAATAAAGAAAAGCAACCTTTTGGAAAAATTATAGTTCAGCTAACCCTTAATTAAAATTTAGATTCAGTTGTCCTTTAATAAAAGCAGCCATTATTGTAACTTGTTCTGGGGGAAAATCATTGTAAAGCAAATTAATCTGATTTCAGCATGGCACAAAAGAGAACTATAAACAAAAACGCAGAGTCATAAACTAAAAATGAATGGGAAAGAAAAAAAACGGGGGAAAATGTAGCAGATGGGTCCAAAGATGGACTTTAAAAATCAATTTGGGAGCAAAAATGAAAAAAAAAGAAAGAAAAAAAGGAACAAAAACTAAAGAGAGTAAAGGAAGCAGACGGATTTGGCAAGCAGATGCTAGAAGGAAGTTTTCACACACCAGAGACTCTTGCGGGTCTGTGTGGGTTGGCCGTGGCCGGCGCAGTGCCCGCGGCTCTGCTGCTCTGGGGCCGTTCCTGCAGCCTCCCTGGCGCTGCTGGCCGGAGCAGCGCTCTGTCCAGGGCTGCCTGTGCGGTTTGTGGGGTGCCAGCCTGCCCTGCTGGCACTGGGGCAGGGCACAGCAGGGGCTCAGCTCCCCGAAATCCTCCTCCACGCTGCTCTGGCGGGTCAGGGCTCTGCGGCGCGCGGGCAGCGGGCGGATGCTCCTCCGGCAGGAGCAGGGCTGGGGCTGGTGACAGCAGCCACACTCTGGGGCCGTGTCCCAGCCCTGCCTGCAGATGAACCTGGACTCTTCCTCCTCGCTGCCGCAGTCCAGCCCGCTGTCCGGGCTGCGGGACAGGGACCTGCTGAACCTGCTGCCCTTCTCATCCGCCACAAACTCCTCCAGGCTGCACGTCCTGGCCTTGGCCGGGTACCACGGGCTCTGCTGCTCCTGATGGYAGGGCCGGGGGGCTCGGCCCATTCGGGGGTTCTTTTTGTAGGGCATACCTAAACCCTGCTTGTACAGCAGCTCCGAGTAGTCTCCGTCCTCTTCTGCCACTTCGGGGATRCTGAAAAGCCTTTTACTGTGGTGTGTCTGCTGGGAAAAGTCAGGCTGCTCCCAAAAAGTGGCGTCAGTGCTCCTATTCTTATCGTACTCCTTAAGATTATGTCATGTTAAAAACCAGACAGGGAACCAACAGTGTGTGACGAAAATAAAATGGGAAGGAAAAAGGAGAAGAAAAGAAAAATAAAGACAAAATTAGTTTTAGAGCAATGGCAAACGTAAGACATGCAGCTTATACAGTGAAAAGGATGTCATGCTTTGAATGAGAATCTGTGAAAAATAAAGAGGTGATTAAAAGTTGGATGGATGTCAGATACAACAAGAGAGGTCAGCACGAACAGCTGAGGGATGCTCTTGGCAGGAGCAAACCCATGCACTGGAAACAGAGGAATGAAAGCCCACAGAGGTTCCAGCAGGGCCTTAATGAATGAGAATCATTAGAACACCTTCCCTGCCCATGCCAAAGTGCCATTTCATCTTCTCTGGAACCAGAGCCCAAGGCTGAGCATGACAACTCTGCCCTCAAAAGCATCYTTGCTTTGCATCTGTTACAGCATCCTGCACGAGCAGCAAATATCTTCAGCCTCCGACAGAGGAGAGCTGTGCCACACTCAGCATTAAAGSAATTCTGCTTTCCTTTCTACAATTCCAAAGAATTTGTGCCATTTGTAAAGCCTGGCTTCACAGGAAGAGCCCTGGAAGCAGGGGCTGCTCTCTGATGTCACTTGGTTTGTCACCAAATCTCTCACCATAACCTTGGACCTGCTTCACAAACCCAGAGTTTGACAATCTGTAGCAGAAATAGRAATCTCTGTTTATGCCAGAAGCAGGTGAAAACCATCCCAGCCTGGGTGAAAGCAGCATTCTGGCCATGCCAGGTRCATTCTGCAGTTTTGCTGTTCCACAAACCCAGGCTGGTGTGACAGAGGATCCCACAGGAGAGTCTCTGCTGCTCTGAGAAGGGAGCACGAGGTGCTGGTTGTGCCTCAGTTTATCGATTCTGCCCACRGAGATCATCTCTGCTCGTGCTTAATGCCCAGATCAGGGACATCCCTGGGCTCAAAGCACCCGAAATACCAACGGGATCATCTCCAGATTGCAGCAGTATCCCTTTKGAGCATTCTAAACTTAGCCAGGGTTTGGCCCCTTTCAGGCACAGGGACCTTTCTGAGTTACTTCATGACTATTTCACCTATTTTCACTTGTTTTAAAAATGTGTATCCCACTTGTTAAACTCGGGACAAACTGCCACAGAAGTGGGTGAAGATCAGTAAGGATGAACAATCATAAATTTGAGATTGCTGTACCAAGAGAAGCCTGCAAACCTTGACAGGCCCAAAATACCTGTAGGTAATAAATACCCCAATAAAGGTTCTGGAACCTTCTCGCTATCAACTCTGGCAATACCAATTTAAATCCAAGAAGTAAATGTACCTTCTGATGAACAAAGAACCAGAACAGTCCAGGATTAATTCTGYTTCCCAGAGGAAAGGGACAGAAGCAGCATGCAGAAGGATTTCAGTTTCAGCCTCTGGTAGTGCAGTAACAGAATCATTTCTTCTTTTGAAAAGGTACCAGACAGTTTAGAATAAAAGCACTGAATGTACAGCACATGAAAGCAGTTACAAGAATGGGGAGAACTCTTTCATGCATGAGAAAATAGTATCGATTTCAGTTAAATAACATCTACTGAAAAAGAAATGGACCTGTGGGTTTGTGCTTTCTAAGAAAACACTGTCTGTGTAATTACTGCACACATAAAGATGCAAATACAATTTACATGTACAAATATAATATGGGAAATATATATTCAGTACTGGGTGTGTTTAGTATTGTACATATCCTACTCTCTCTGGTGATTCCCTAATAATCAGACCACGGGAATTCTGATAAAGCATTGATCAAACAAAACTGAAACAACTCCCTTTCTTGGGAGAACCCTTTAAAGCCTGTGGAAGGGATGGGATTAGCACTGGGTACATGGACAAATCACTCAGACATTGAAAATATCCGTTGTTTTGTAAGATTTTATAAATCTCCTTGCTCAGAAACAACTCRTTTTTGGGGCAGCACATGCAGTATCTTCACACAGACAGGGGGAAGGTCCCCAGATGTAGAACAGAAACTGCAACAATTACATAGAGGAGAAGAGTCCATCGGTTCACAGTTCAGCTCTCAGATAATGAGAACAATGACGCAATAAATGCATTGAAGTGGTCAGTTCTATCTCAGTGGGACGGGGAGGGTTGTAATGGTCTGCAGAGCCCATAACTGATGTACACCTATCCCATAACCCAAATGGAGCCCCCCAGCAGCCCCAGAGCAGCCCCAGAGCAGCCCCAGAGCAGCCCCTGCAGCCCCTCTCACCTTGAGTGTCCCGTGTGAGCCCAGGCTCAGGCGGCGCCTCCCGCCCTCCTCCAGCTGCATCTCGGAGTAGAGCTCCTCCTCATCCTCCTCCAGGATGTCAGACAGGTCCGAGCCCCGGCTGCTCTCTGTCTGGTACTCATCCCCGTGGCAGTAGTGAGCCTGAGGAGCCACACACACACACCCTGAGTGCCTGCCAAGCTGATAATCCCGGCCTAACCCAGCCTGGGATGGCACAATGGACCCACACAGCAGTTACATCACTGCCCTGGGCTCTGCTCTGCTCCACTCATCCTGTACCAATCTGGCTTTGCCCACCCATGATCATAGCTCAAGAAATCCAATCTCAATCCCAGGTGATCCAAAAAGGGAGATACAAATATCTCCATTCACAGCACCAAATCTAGTTCTAGTCTTGATTAAATTCCCTTATTRAAGAGGTCCTTCATGCATCAATGGACTTGCTGACCAAATTGTGGAAGCCTCAGGATAATTCACATATCATCTGTTCTTCACAGCTGTCTGTTACATCACATTACCATTTTAAAAGGATCAGYATTTCATTCTTGCAGGATGTCACCACCATTGTGTGCTGCAGTTAGAGGATGGCTCAGGACTGCAGAGGAAGGGATGGCATTGCTGAGACCTTCCAACACAGGAGGGCAGATCTGTCACTGAAGCTTTTTCAGCTATGCCAAGAGCTATGAAAATACCTCTTCTCTAGAACTGACATCTCCCCTAAAAGCAATGTAATAAACGCTGTGGTATTTGTTTTCAGTGGGGTCAGATGGAAGCTGTGCTGTTGTGCACAGTTATTTTAGCAGAGTTTCCACTCCCAGCTGCACACAGTGCCCACGCTGCTGTCACCAGCACTGCTGTGACTCTCGGGGTCACCCAGACACAGCTCAGGCTCTCAGAACCCTCACTGCCCCTTCAACAGAGGGCACATAACAAATGCAGGCTCTCACCTGCTTGCCCAGCTCCGAGCCCTTCAGGAAATCGTCCACCGAGGCGCCCCTGCGCTTCACCCTGGGCGAGTCGTACCCATCCTCCTCCTCGTCTGAGTTGTACTGGGCTGAGCTCCTCTCGCTGAAAACGCTCCTCCTCTCCATCTGCAAAAGCAACAGAGCCAGGGAGTGTCAGCAGGCTGGCTGTGCACCCAGGGGTGGGATGGAAGGTGAACACTCAGCACACAATGTTTAAATCACCCTCGGTTAAAGCACTGCTGCCCTCCCCTCGCAGGGTTTCTCTAGAGGTGTTTGCTGTAGCATTGCCCTCGCTCACAAACAATCACTGATTCTGTGTGACCATCACTGAGCTGCCCATTCTCCTCCAGGACCACTGGCCAGAGCTCCCAGAGGCCGCCAACAGCCTGAATTTTAGCACCCTGCTCCTCTCAGACTATGGATCTCCCAGAGGCTGCCAAGAGCCTGAATTTTAGCACCCTGCTCCTCTCAGACTATGGATCTTCAGAGTCTATCAATGATTACCTGCTCCTTACGGCACACGACAGAAAAATCCGTGCTGGGAAATGTCACAAGGAACAAAAGCAGCCCAAAAGCCCTAAGGAGAAGCTCCTTACCCTGTTGCTCTCTGCCACTCTCTGTGCAGCCTCTCTGGCCATGGCTTTTGCGACGGTGTGGGGGACAGGCGTGCCTTGAGGCTGGGGCAGGATCCTGTTGGGGGACGGGGATCTCCTGCCCTGGTGGGGGCCGTGGAAATTGGGGGGCTCCAGCATGTGTCCGTGCACGGGGGACACCGAGCGAGTCTGCTCCCACGACTCATCCCTCTTCCCATGGGGGCCCAAGTGTTCTTCTTTGGTTTGGGGGGCTCCGGCACTTGCAAATGGCTTGGGTTTGGGAGCAGTGCGGGGCTGGGGGGGTGGAGGCACCAGGAGGTCCAAGGGGATGGCAGCGGCAGCAGAGTCCAGGGACTCCCCCTGCAGCGACAGCGTCCGCACGGTCACGTCCCGCGCCTCCAGGCTCCGCAGCCGCAGCAGCTCCAGGGGAACGGTGTCTGCCGAGGGGAACGGCACCTCTGCCACCTGGGGGGACACAGGGACACCAGTGAGAGAGAGCCACCCACCACCCTGCCCTCAGTGCCACCTGCGGGACACAGGGACACCAGTGAGAGAGAGCCACCCACCACCCTGCCCTCAGTGCCACCTCTGCCACCTGGGGAGAGAGGGACAGGGGTGAGACACGGCCATCCTGCCTGCCCTGAGTGTCACCCTGCCCTGAGTGACACCTCTGCCACCTGGGGAGAGAGGGACAGGGGTGAGACATGGCCATCCTGCCTGCCCTCAGTGTCACCCTGCCCTGAGTGACACCTCTGTCACCTGGGGAGAGAGGGACAGGGGTGAGACACTGTGACCCCCTCCCTGCCACCTGTGGGACACTGCCATCCTGCCCTCAGTGCCACCTCTGCCACCTGCGGGCACACAGGGACACAATGAGACAGAGCCACCCACCACCCTGCCCTCAGTGTCACCGAAATGCTGTCCCCACAGAGATGCTGTCCCCACAGAGACACTGTCCCCAGCTCAGGCTGGGCTCCTGAGCTGCCCCAGGGCTCTCCCCACCCCGACTCTGGCCACCCCAGCCCTCCCCAGCCCTGGGCTGAACTCACCCTCTGCCCTTTGGCGTAGACCCCGTAACCCGTGACGGTGGCACCGTGGGACGTCCCCGTGGCCGTCAGAGTCGGGGGCTTCCAGGACACCTGGACAGTTCCTGGCGTGGCCCCAGCCCGGACAGCAACGTCCTGGGGTGGAGCAGGGGGACCTGGGGAAGAGGGGACGGTCACTGTGGGGCCCAGAGCAGGAGCACAGAGGGCTCAAACTCCAGCACTTTCCAGCAGGAGGATGTTAAAGGACACCTGGTCTTTTCTCTGGATCCAAAACCCCACCCACCCACATCCCCAGGCATTTAGAGCACACCAAAACCTCCTCAATTAAAAGGCATTGCCCTCTATAAATAGCTCTGCTTTGGCCACAAAGCCCAAATATCACCTACCCCTCATTTCCCCAAACCAAACAATCCCCAGGGAGTGCTCCTCAACCTTCACAGGTTCCATACACTGCAGTGCCCGAGGCTCAGCACGCTTTCTATTCCCCCATCACTAAAGGGGAAATTATTCCCAATGATTTCTGATGGTCTTGGTCATCAACATAAATGTTCATTCTGGAATTCTGCTGCACTTTGCTCCTCATAGGTTTTTTTTTACATAAATTAGCTCCAAAAACCCTCAACAGTCCCACTGGTCCTGATCCTGCATTTATTTCCATTTTTAGAACAGTCAGCCCAGGAGAGAACTACTCCTGTTTGAATTTAAGCAATTCCACAGCTCTGAGGAATCGAGATGAGGAGTTCARTGCATGACAACGATGGTAACTCCAAATTCATCCATCCCTTCCYTTGGTTCTGGTAATTCTGAAATGCAGGGATCAGCCTCTCACTGCCTCAGTGCTGCTTTGGTTCTGCTACACAGCAGGGAAAAGCTGGCATTTCTGTAAAAATGCTCTCTGAAATTCTGTGTCCTCTGGATCCCAAAGCCGAGGCTGTGAAATGCTGGCATTTCTGTAAAAATGCTCTCTGAAATGCAGAGATTCTGTGTCCTCTGGATCCCAAATCCTGTTCCCTGCACTCCAGGAACAGCCCAGGCCCTGCTCAGCACAATCCCAGCTAGAACAGACCCAGCATGGCTGAGAAAACCCTCMCTCCAAAGGCCTTTCCTGAACAGCAGAGTGGAAATGAGTTCAAAGCAGTCCCCCAGGACATTGCCAGGTTTGAAATGCAGATTCCAYAGCAGCACCACCACTTGTGCCACTGAAAGAGCTCCAGACAAAAGGGTGAACTGTGAGCTGAGGACAATTCACTGCAGCTGAAGAGACAGAGACACTCCCTCTGCTCTGGTTCCAACATTACCTCAATGTTCTGAAATAATGGGAAATGACTGGCAGCACTTACCAACACAGCCAGGTGGGAAAAAAACTCAGACTTTCCAAAACACAAAGAATTTGTGGACTTTGCAAATTGAATTTGTACGATGTGATTACCACTTCACGACCAAAATGCACTTAAATCCCCCAAATGAATCTGGGAAAGTTAAATTATTTTATCCAGCATTTTCAGAGAAATTTAACCAAAGACTTTTGGGGTAGGGAGGAAAGTATCAAACCTGCCGGCAATGTAGAAAATTCCACAAAGGCTTCCTTTTTTTCTCGCTGCTCCARGGGAAGCTGCCAGGGCATCTGATGGGGTTTTGCCATGACCTTCACCTTGTAGGCCATGTTGGGCTTCAAATTAAAAAAATGGTACTTGTAGCTAGCAGCCTTGACAATGTCAAACTCCTCCTCGTTCAGAAAGATGACATGGCTGTAATTACTGTTGGTGGGGAGCCAGGAGAGCTCAGCAGAGATCTGGGTGATGTTGTCCACTCGGAGGTTGGAGGGGGCCACGATGACGTCCTTGCCCACCAAGAGAGTGCACTGCAGCTCGTCCGAGTTGCCCTTGTTGGTGATGCTCTGGATGGAGATGCGGTAGGTGCAGGCGGAGATGTTGAGTTTCTCGATGAGAGCCTTGGTCCTGCTGCCCAGGGCGACGTTCATGCGGATCTCYTTGTCCACCAGCACGTTGTAGCTGCTGACGGTTCCCCAGCCGGGGGGCACGACCGGCGGCTCCCAGCCCACAATGACACTTTTGGCTAGTTGTTTGATAAGGGTGATTTTTCTGGGATAAGGCACAATGTCTTCTCCAATCTCGTCAATGTTCACGTCCAGAGTCCCCGCGCCGTTGCTGATGACGCCGGAGTCGATGTGGCTCGGAGGGCTGATCTCCAGCAGATCTCCTTCCAGAGCGGGACCCGAGCGGTTGATGAGATTCTGATCCTGTTCGCTGCTCAGTGTGCTTGATAACCGGCTCTCGTTGTCTTGAACAAAATCCACAAAGTTGGAAGGGACCAATCCTCTCTGACCATCCAGAAGTTCTCCTGGTGGGAAAAAGCAGAGCTGTAAAAACCCCTGAAGGACAATTCCTTTTCCATGTCAGTTCAGGTGAGGGGCAAGCACGAGGGACAATGCACACAAACAACATTCCCAGCACAAGAGCACCAAGGCTCGGCGAGGGAAACACCACAACTGCCACCGAGCTTTCCTGTCAACTTAAATCTTGCCAGCAGGAAAAGCTGACACCATAAAATATTTTATAATTAGCTTTGCCTGCAAGGAGCCGCTCTGCTGCTGCAGAAACTCTTTTAATTAACACAACGATGATAAAGCTAATTTTAGCAACCGACTTAGGAGCAGACGAAGGAAAGAATTTGGAGCGYGCTTGACAGACGAACTGATTTCAATCTGCATGAATTAGCATGAATTGATGGATTAAGGACAGGATACCTTCGTAGAAGCCATCTTCRTCCATGTCCCCGTACACATAGAGGTACTTTCCTGCCGTGAGAGGGAGCTCAGCCTCCGGGTTTTCGTTTGGTCCATCGAAGGGGTTGTAGCTGTGGGGGACAGGATCTGCTCAGAACCGGGATTACAATTCCCTGTCGGGATTTGTGCTGCCCTGAGGCACAGCGGGGATGGGCTGGGTCTGTCTGTGCCCGCGGGGTTACACACGTGATATTACACAC